TGAGCGGGAACCGGTCTGTATGTGGGATCCGAACCCTCGGCGGGAGTGCCGCTGCGCTTCCTAAGCGGCGCACTATCGCAGTGCGCCACCGGGCCGGCCCCTAATCACCTTCTTAAACAACTGTCATAACTTACTTCTCTCACTATATGTCCCACGGATCTTGATAGAGGTCAAATTGTTTAGGAGTCTCTGAAATTCAAAAGGGTTAAGAGTAGGCCTCCAAGGGTAATCTGTTGCTTCATGGAGCCTGGAGAGAAAGAAAGGGCCACATTAACTTCTTTAAGGATAACTATCAGTGCTGGGAAAGCATTTCTTATTCATTTATGCCACCAACAATGCAAAGCTCTGACAATTTAACCAAATCAGAAATGAGATTGTTAGTATGACAGTACAATTGGAAATGATAAAGTTAAACAAATGAAGGCTCCCTTTTATAAAGTCACCTTGATAATCCAGAAGTTTGTCTTTAACATGCACCTCAATGCCAGAGAAGCTTAAATAAAGAAAACACTTCACAATGTTGGTCAAGTCCAATCTTACAAATTTATGAGAAATCGGTCAAAGGACACAAAGAATGATTATATATTATAATGATGAATAAGTTAACTCTTCTGACTTGACCATCACATACAACTATTGATAGTCAACTTTGTACTCCTCGAATATGTATAATCAATTACGCTTCAATAAAAACTAAATTAAAAAAAAAAAGAAGGCTGTCTTACCTGAACACATACTTCACAGTGGTCTCACTTGGATAGGAATTGCCCTGAGCGATCAAAGGCACAGATACTCTTAAGCCAGCTCCCTCAAGCACAAGGTCTTCTGCAGAGAGGCGGGTATCTCGCCTGTCCACTCTAAAGGTGAAGGAGAGGTTCTGACCATAACTCAACATCTGCTTGCCCAAGAACTTTGCTGGAACACAGACACAATGGTGGGCAAGAATGTTAGAAGGAGGCTGAACAGAAGCACACAGCAAGTCAGACTGCTAGCCTTACTTACCAGGGGCAACGAAGTACCTAGGAAAGTAGCTATCTGAAATCACAGCAATATCTTGCCTCTCAGAGGACCACTGGAGAGATGCTTCAGAGCCGTCCCTCTGTTCCACACGCCACCCATCTTCATCTGCAGGGAGAGAATAAAACATGAGCAAACAGCCTGAGTTCAGGTCCTCTATATTCCACAAAAATGCATAAGACCACACCTTGTATGAAGTCATCAATAAACTTTCTTGAGTAAATGGATTCTACAACAGTACCTATCTGTGCTATATTCCTCAAGCTATATATATATATATATATA